TTCAGCACACTCCGAAAATACTCTCGAGTTGAAGTTAAGTCAAATATTTTTTTATTTGGAAATACTGCGCAAGAATTTTCAACGTGTTATTTCTCGCTTCTTTCTCACATTCCAACATGATCTTATTTCTACCGCGACGAGTGCCCAGGAGCCTTAAGAAAACATAACGTAAATACATAGAATATAGAATTTTAAAAAATACTGCGGTGATATAATTTGCTAATAAAAACATACTCGAATACTTTCTTGTGTTCTTTAGGATACCTCTTTTATTACATGATGTTTCCCGCTCCTTACTCAGTCATATTAGGATTTATTAATTTTGTTGAAATATATATATTCCTTAGTAAACGTATGTTTCATTAACGATAAAGTATAAGGCCATGTATATAATTACTGTACATATTATATTCATTAATTAATATACGTATTTAATATACATCTACGTGTATATTAAATATATAGATATTCTTATATCGAATTGAATATTAAATTAACAGTGCATTTTTGTTCCAAAAAAGATTGGCGCATTTGGAGTTAATGAAGAGCTTTTGTCGATGCTCGTATTGTGGAAAAATATCTCGATTATCGGGAATTTTATGATTTTGCGCAGTGAAACACCACCGCTATCGCCATTGGCTGCCGGAACGTCACACCCCTCGACGTTATCACGTATCATCCCCCAAAAAGGTCCTTTCCTCCCGGCGCGATATCGCAGTAACCGTGGAGAGCAATGTCGTGGCTACCGGTCACCCCTCGCTCGCAAGAATGTCGCGGAGATGTGCGGGATCGGGATACATCGTGAAGACCGTGTGACGATCGTTTTGCATCGTGGCGATAAGGGACGCGGAAGAGATGCGAGCCGAGCGGAGCAGCTAAAGCGCCAAACTCGACGAGCGAAAGAGGCTTATTATTAACGCGACGCACGTGTTCCATTTAAAATTATGAGCCTGGCCTCGGAGCGTCGGCGGTTTCTCCCGAACGGTAAGGACATCGTGCAGAATGTTAAAAAATGTTAAAAATCGGCGAGAGACTCGAGAGACGCGCGGGAGTCCCTAACGATCTCTTCCCCGGGAATAACGGGAATCGGAACGCGTTCGGCAAAAGGAAAAGAAGGGGGGTGGAAAAAACAAGAAAAGAAACGAATTAACGAAATATACGCGCGGAGAATTTCGCCCACCCGCGAAATAACGCATATTGATCGTTCCATACTTGTTGCGCAGAGACAACAGCCGGGCCAAGCTACGCCGAGTATCAACATCCCCACCCTGTGCGAGAGCGAAAAGCTGCATCGCATCTCGCGGACGCCGCCGTTCCGTAAAATTGTATTTCTTCTTCTGCGTTTCGACGACGCACCGCGGCGTCCACCCCCACAAGGGGGAAACGGGGATGAGGGAGTCCGTCGAGCTATATTATGATTTGTAAATGCGCTCGGAGTATCGGTAACGCGCCGCGCTATCGCAACATATCATGGAGACAGTACGCCTTTTGATAAAAGTCCTAATGCTGTTCAGCTGGTGCGCAAGGGGATCCATCGGGAACGCTCTCGGTGAGTTGGCCCTGACACTTTATCGCTTCGTTATCAACCCTTTCCTATGCGTGGGTGACACTTGTTTTACGACATGTATTTTTACAAATTTGCGAGACTCATGTGACGTCCTTTGGCATGAAAGCATTTATTCTTTCTCCAATTCTTTAGTTTTTGAAAATTTGTTGTGTGATGATGAATAACGACTCATTATTTAATTACTTATAAAAGATTGATTATAGAAACGCACATAAGAATGTAATATAATAAAGAATAATTTCAATGATTATGTTAGTAATAATAATAGCGACAAAAAACAGTCCGAAATAAAAATATAAACGCATTTTTTACAATAATTTTTTACACAATTATATTTATTTTATTGACATATTTACAGATGTAAATAATTAAAAGCCAAGTAATATTTAGCTTTTTATCAAATATTCGATAATAAATGTATAAA